TTTTTTTTAGGTTGAAGAAGAAGAGGAACCAGTGAAAAAACTACCAGATGAGTTACTTGCTACAAATGATGATAAGCAACAGCGGCTCAAAGACGAGCGTACTCTCAAGGTCGTCTTCATTTCTAATTTGATATTGGGTTACGATTATTATTACTCTAATACGCAATCGAGTTTTTACAATCCTAGGTTTTAAAATGGAATTTTACTCTCCCAACGGAGGAACATGTTGCACAATTGCAAGAACAGCTTGGTCGTTATGCCAAAGCATCGTTGATGGGAATGCTCTTCCATAAAGATTTTAAACAGCATTTGAAAGCTATCGAGCTACTCAACAAGGTTCGTAGAAATAATCCGACCTTGGATCCAATAAGCTTATCGAATCTTGCGCCCGGGTGTTTGCTTTTCTGACATTTGTAAAAGAATTTTTGAGCCCGAAGAGTTCCATATCTCTGGGTTCCTTTATAAGTGCTGTTGTAGACTGCAGAAACAAATCCAGAAGCGTTGGTAAAGAACAGCGATCTTTTGCTGAAATGGTGTACTCTTCGCTTTTACGAAACAAACCCTGCTGTTCTTATTAAGGTGAGGCTGCTCTGTTTTCAGTTGGCTTGCGCTCATAATCGAAAACGATTGTCAGGTACTCGAGTTCTCTAAACAAGTTCTTGCCCTTGTGCAGTCATTTGAGGAACCTATGTCATCTGAGGAAATGTATGCATTTGTTCCCCATCTTCTGTTGAAGTCCGGCGAACAGAAAGAGAACATGCGCAATGCTGTACGCGAAATCATTGACGAAATTACTGATATCTGTGGACCTTTCAAAATGTGTCCAACCCTATTGGGCAAGTTAATATCGATTTTATATTTGCTCCGCACCTAATGATTATCATTTATTTAGAAGCTCTGAAAACGAAAAATGCACGCCAGCGTGCTGAATGCCTCCAAGTTCTGGAACTGTACATCGAGCGCGCTGGTCTTACCCAACTGAAGTCATTAGTATGTATCTTACTTCAGATTCCACATTTTGCGCTGGAGCTCTCATTTTCAGGGGATTCATAAAGCAATAGCTGCCTGTGTAAGTGATAGAGATAATAATGTGAGAAGTGCTGCTATCAATGGGCTTGTTGCATGTTATCGTGAAGAAGGAGACCAGGT